AGTAAACGATCAAAACGATAACAAAATAACACTGAAAACCGATGAAAACATTTCACACCTGAGCCTCAACTCTCGCGGCCCAGTACCAAACGACTCACGGACCGGTCCGAGGCCCGGGGGTTGGGGACCGCTGCGCTACACCAAGTCCAGCATACTTCACACTTTTTAATACATCGCTTTTTAATTTCAAAGTACTCGGCCTAAAAGAAATTCAATTAACCGGAGCACTATGTTCAAATATTAACTGACCTGGAATAATTGTAGGTGGTAACTCCTGGGTGGTGGAAGAACAGCAGCAACACGTTCTGATAAAATAGCACATTTATTAAAAAGACAGCATTTATCAGCAGTTCCCATATATGCCACATCTGAGGCAGAAGATCAGGGGTCTCGCATACAGTTTCTCAGTCCACCTGCTGCTGCTTACATCCCTCAGAAGAGCGATTATTTACCAAACACGTGCGTATAAGGTACAACTTGCACACTCCATGTCTCACACATACACATTCACGGCAGCAGACCCGGCTGTTCAAATTGAATGGGCTGCTGCCTGGGCAATGGGCAAGTTGGCTGATTTCTGCTGTTCAAATTTGTTTCCGTTTAAGTTGATCTCACATGTTTAGTTGTTTAAAAAAAAAAAAAAAAAAAAAAAAAAAGTTAAAAGAAAACAACATGCCAAAACAAACAAAAACAATTTTACAATAATTACAGAGCAATTCAAACGACTCTTTTACAATGATTTAAAAAAAACCCAAGATTGAGTATTCTGGCATGGCCTCAATAAACGCGATGACAAGACATGAAATGACATGTTAGTTTGATTTAGCACGTTTCCCAGGTGAAAGAAAGGATGAGAGGTAATTATTTTGCACCATGTTAGGACTTTGATGAACAATTTGGATGGAATGACTGAAATTCTTTGGTTCTCTTGTGGGAAAAGAAAAGAAAAAAAAAGCAGAGCAGATCTTCATTCCACTGCGGTAGTTAACTACGAGACCAACAACAAAAGGTCTGGAAAGAAGGACGTGAGGAGACTGCTTGAAATACGTTGTGGGTATATGTTTATTATACTTTTCCTGCAAAACTTGTAGGAAAAGTTTTTTTAGTTGAGGTTAAGAACAGACTTGATATACATTTTAATTCTTCTGACATGTGTCCTGTTCTCCTAAAAAGAGTCCTTCCTGTGGAATGAAAATCTAGCCCTGAAAAGTTTTTTGTACAGAGAAGAAAAAATAAAAGGCTGTTTTGACATAAGCCAACAAAAGAGCCACCTCAAGGCGAATGATGGTAAAGCGCATTTGTATTTAACAATTCAAGGCAACAAAGACGCATGCACGCACACATACATACACACACACATGACATTTTAAAATACATGAGGCAGTGCAAAATGTCACACCAATAATATATCACGTTTTAAAAAGTCAAACTAAAACAAATCCTGAGGAAAAAAAAGTCAAACAAATCCAAGCGTATTATAAAATATCTCCAGGTCAGCCCCGCTCCGGTTTAAATTACACCTAACGCAATGGAAGATCCCGTATACTCAGAGATAATCTCATTTGTTTAACAGACAGCTCATCTGGCTGCCTGTTAGAATTTTTATACTCTGTACCAATAACCATTTCTCCCCAGAAGAAAAGGCCACAAAGTCATCTTCATAAGAAACAAAACGAGATCAAAAACAAACCCTCACCTACAACCCCAAATTAACAAAACCGAAAACATTGTCGTCACACGATAAAAAGTGTGATCTTGTACCTTATATACAAACGCGACTGTGTAGACTTGCAGAGGAGCAGAATATGGTGACTTTGGTGCTGGATTAAATGAACGTTTTGCATCTTTTCAGAGGAAAGAAAGGCGCTTATACAGATTGGTGACAAATGAAAGAAAGAAAACAAACAAACCCCAAAACAAAATCAGTCACACACTTGACTGCAGCGAGGAGACCTTATGTTCTGCTGTGCTATGAGGCATTTTGATGGGATGGCTTGGGTCCACTTGGCCCGCTGAAGCTGGTGTTATATTTTCCCTGCAAGGGGTGAGCACAAGGCTCCAAGAGGACATCTGTGTGCCCCCCCCTTTTTTTTTTAAACCATGCAAATTGTACACTATATTATAAATAGTACACCATTTATAATAAAGAACTATAAAAATTTCTTGATGGCTTCTTTGAGCGATGGATGCAAGCTTGCACATGACAAGGGTGGAGTGTCCACACCAAGCTGGGAGCAAGTGGAGGTGGTTGAGTATCTCCAGGTCTTGTATGTGAGACAGAAGGAAGGAGCAGGTGTATGCTCCAGTGCTTTGTCATGGTGAGGAGAGCGCTGAACGTGAAAGCGAAGCTGTCGATTTACCTGTGGATCACTTATGGCCATGAACTCTAAATAGCAACCAAAAGAAAGACGGAGCAAATACAAGCGGTGGAAATGAGCTTCCTCTGAATGGTGTCTAGGTTCTGCCTTAAAGACTGGATGGCTATTCAGGTCAGCAGAGCTGCTGGATCTCTGCAACAAAATGAGCCAGTTGAGCTCGATCAGGCATCTGACTTGGACCTGATCTGAGCTCCTGGATGAGGTGTTTCGGTTACGTCCAACTGGGACTAGGCTGGAGTAGACCCCGGACACGCTGGAGAGATTGTGTCTCTCTGTCTTAGGAACACTTGAAGGTAAAGGAGGTGGCTGGGAGAGAGAGATCTCTGCTTAAGGAGCTGTCCTGGGACCTGGATAAGTGGCAGAAAATGCAGACAGATGGAAGGACTACGCATTCTTGATATCCGTGTCATCAAGCGAGCCTAAGTGCCACCATAAAGGCAAAGGTCAACGCAATCAAATGGTCATCTTTGTCCTACAAGAAGAAAGAAACAAAAACAAACAAACAAAAAAAACCTTCAAACTCGATGGGAGTGACTTAAAGGAGAGTCCAAGTCTAGTCTCACTCCCAATTAAAAAAAACAACATACTGAGACTCAGTCAAGACATTTTGGCATCACCAGCAAAATTCTGAAGATACTAACAATTAACCACTTAGGAAACCCCACCAGGTTTGGCTGCCTTAACCCAACCAAAAATAAAGTGAAAATATGAGTAAACTTCACACTAAAACAACCCAAACATGCTAAAGCTCCCACATAAGACACCAGTCAGTTTCCTTCGTGACACACTTATCTGGAAACTTCTGGAATCAGTGCCAAGGCACACTGAAACACTGTTGGTTTGTTCTTTCATTTCTCACCAGTCTGTATGAAATAAGAGTAAGATCTTACAACATTCAAAAGAAACAAAAAACACACACAACACTACCATAAACTGGCTAAATATTTTCTGGCACCAAATTTTTAAACCACCATCAATCACAATGAGGAGGAGGACTGAGGAGTAAGGAAGCATCCACGACGCCTGAATTATTAATCACTTTTCAAGTACTGCGTATGGCAACAGCAATACTGGTCAGAGAAGGGAGAGGAGGATTGGGTGGATGGGTGGTGAGTACTTAAGACGCATTAGTGAAACAGGCAAAGTTACAAAATCATCCTCAGAGTAGA